TTCGATGGGAAGAGGTATAAACCAGGCCATTCCACTCAACCGATGCACTGAATGAATGAGAAACGTAGAAACAGGGGAGGTGAATCCGTGAAAGGATAGTTGTGCATTATTTCGTATTTCAAAAATTCTGGATTTGCCGCTAGGAAAATGCGCACCGCAGACGATATACCACAACAGTATCTCTAGAGTTCTTACCCGACGGAATCTAGAATTCTTACCCGATGGAATTTGCTACAATTCGGTTCAAGTGCGGAGTAGTGTCGAGGTCCTCCGATGTATCGCACTGACACGTACATTCGTCACATCATAACCTTATACTAGTTTGGCCACGTTGGGCCTTCCCAAAAATTGGCAGGGAGGCGGCCGCAACCCCGTTTAGGGTGCTTGAGCCATCTGCTCAAAGTTGATGCTTGAGCCATCTGCTCAAAGTTGATCGTTTTTTAGTGTGTAGGGGGATTTAATTGCGGAGCGACCATATGATCGAACGGGGTTGCACCCAGCAACCCTCACCGCCGTTCCCTGGAGTCCCCGAGTGCACGTACCAGCTTTTGTTAGCGAAGCATGCTGAAAGCTGCGTCGTACATTGCGCGCGTTATTGTTTAATGTCAATCGCAACCGAAAACGCTTCCTGTAAGGGACAATCTATTTTCTTCCCTCAACGTCTAACATTGAACCCTTCAGTCTACCTCAAATTTGAATAAAATTACAGAGCAAGCAGATCAACTAGCTTGGCAATTGAACGATGATGGGCAAGTCTGATACACAACATTGTTGAAGATTCCCCAACAGGGGATCGTATTTGGTTGCTGGGGAGGGGTGGTATTTGATCTGGGAAAAAATGTTGTAGTTGATTTTTCTTGATTCGGGGACGCTGTAAAGAGGGTGGGTTCGTATTTGCTCGTTGTCGAGAGTGAGGGTTCGTATTTACCTTCTGGAGAGAGAGTGTGTGTGTTACTTTTCGTTGTTTTTGCTGTTCGTATGTTCATATGTACTCTATGCTCCCCTTGCCGCTCAATAGCCAAGTTTTTAGTAAAAACTAGGGAAATTTCCTGAGAACTTTCGGAAAAACTGGTAAAAGATCGGGAAAATCTAAGGAAGTGGTAGGTAGGATAGGGATATAGGGATTCGGCACGCATTCCACATTCATCTAATGGTAAGAGTGTAGTTGCTTTTAAATGCGATGTGACCTAACGCTATGACTTGCGGCGAGCCGCTCATTGAACAAGCCGGTGTTTCTATTCTTCCAGAGATATCTCGTAGCAAGTGACGAGCCCAGAGTGCTGAAAAAACTTGGCTAACTGGTGCGGAATCTGATTCGGACTTCTACTGCCTGACCGCGAACGCCCCGACTGTAGCGCTCAAAAAATGAGCGTTTTCTGTTCCAGGCCGTTGAAGTGTTAACACGTTGGCGACATTGCGTCCCACTGCTGGGATGCGGCATGGGTAAAAAACCATGCCGCATCCCAGCAGTGGGACGCGGCATGGTTTCTGAAGACATTCCGAATTTTCAACAGCTGCATATTGTCCATGAAGGCATTGTAGAATATACAGTAGCTGTAAACCGTGCAGTTGTGTCATTGAGAGTATTTTACCGAGGAGACAAACGAAAGTGATTTCCTAGGAAAAAAAGATAATTCTTGGATATATAGAACTGAAGCTCCACATGCAGATAGCTAATGTGATAAGGTAACTTTCAACAATAGCAGATCTGAATCGAATCCAATTTACCACCTCTGGCGCGAAAATATTCCTTTTTGCGACCTTGTTCCCACGCTCCACGTGAATGAGGCGGATTCCATGAAATTTCAGGGTTTATCTTGAAAGTAAACAAGAATAGCGAAGCCTTACTAGCTTCTGCAATGAATTCTGACCATTCTTCAATTTTTTGGCGTATAAACGCCCTAGCATTTATGCGCATTCTTCGAAAATAGGGAAAAACTGCTTTACTGAAAATCATCTGTGATGTTGAGTGTATTCCTTTCCCCAATATTTGTTTTTCTTTGTTTCTAATTGTCCCACGCGGCAGACACGCGAAAAGGCGCCTCACCAATGTGTTAATGGTGTCAGTTTCAGTGCTTCAGGTTTCTCTCCAAGAGTTTCACGTCTCGTAATAAATCTCGAAGAAGCTGTGTGACAATAATAATGAATCAGAATGAGCGCAACATTAGCTGATGAGGCGCGACAGCGCGGCGATGGGCACTTTACTGCGGCAACAGAGCGTTGAGCAGCGTCCGGACCCCGCAATACGACAATGATAATGAATTAAAACGAGCGTCGACCAGTGCAAAGGCCCTACAATGCTATAGAAGAGAACTCAGCCGTGGACGTCATTGGTCGGCACTGGTCGGTACTGTTTTGAGAGAGTATACAGGGGGGGGGGCAAAAAAAAGACATTTCGACCGAGTCACATATCAGCAAAGTTTTCGCAGCCCAGACAGAGACGTGGATACGAGTACCAGGGCGGAAGATACCCAAGATGTTCCTCTATAAGCAGGAGCTGGCGCTCGCCCATCACCTTCATGTACACCAAAATATGAAGTCATCTCCAGCCGCAACCTGACTGGAGAAGACCTTCGGAATTCATGTCACCTCCAAACAGCTGCGAAACTTCTAGTATGGAGTCACCCATGGATAGCTACCTGGAGACCAGTACTCTCGATCTGGAAGACCTCCAACATCGAGCAGCTCCGACAACGTCGCTACGGTCTAGGACATCATCTTCACCTCAGTCGCCAAGGCGCCAGTTGATGGTGGGGACCGGACGTACCTGGAATGGAGAGACCGATATTTTCTTCGTGGGCCCCGGACTAAAGGTGAGCGCTGGCGGTTACATCGAGCAACTCGAGAAGAATATCCTCCCCACATGTCGTCGCCCGTACCTTCTTGGAAACTTTGTACTGCTACAGCATTGGGTGCCACCACATGGAATCGAAGGGCGTTGGAGAAACTCTCGCCTACTTGGAATGGAAGGGGGCTGAGTACCTGAAGAAGGTGGAATATCTAAGCAGGTAACCTGACCTAAACCCCCTCAATTACCTGGCTCGGGCGGAGTTTCAATAGGGTGGTCTACAGTGGCGGAGAAATCAACGATCTCGCTGAACTCACGCACCCACTGACGGTCGCGTGGCAGAATCTCTCGATGGCGCTCCTCCAGAAGGCTGTGGCGGAGTATCATGATAGTATTTAATATGCTCTTTAATATGGTGGTAGAAATGTCCGATAAGAATTTAATAAAGTGTAGTTATAGCGCCTCGAAAGTCGAGGAAGAAAAAAGTCTTTTTTTTTGGCCCCCCCTGTAGACGAATAGTGTACCCGCACATTCTTCTATGCTCTCCCAAAACAGTAGCGATCAGGCTGACTGATGGCCGTCCTAGCATTGAAGCAGGTTGCAATGGTAGCGCGTCGACGCGTGTTATCGGGAAGTCTAAACGGCAGTTGTGCGGTTAAGTGTCTAGAGGGTTTTCCACGATCTAACAGTCGAATCTGACTGATGAAGCAACTTCAGAACTGTACAGAAGAGAACAGAAGAGAAATTTATTACAATGAGATACAAAGTAGAAAGATAAAAATTATTCACAAAAAAACTGGCTGGCCTGTACTGCCACTAGGCCTATTTACAGAAAGTGGGCGTGGCCGTCGAGGGGACTGTAGTCATCGCCCCTGTTATACCTGGGGATGCGGGGTACAGCACGGCGTACCCGCCGGTGCTGCCGCACCTTTTACGACCGCTCAGAGGCCTTCCCAATAATCTCGAACCCGAGTCTATATACATTACATATACATTACACTCAATAAATCAAGGCGTTCCCACTACGCCATATTAAAATTGCCTGTACGGCTTCGATCCTCGGCAGCCACGCCCCCTAGATCCTGAACAACGGTGATCACGCCTTTTGCTTCTACGGAGACCAGTTTGAACATTTTGTTTCCGATCCTTTGCAGTGGTCTGCATTCCTGCGAGCTTCGCGAAGCTGGTCCAGCTTTAAACGTCGTTCATTGCCGTTGATATGGTTAGGCTTCCAAGAAAGATTTCGCTCTGAGCCGTATCCGGCTCGAGAGTACTGACCACCTCGCTGCTGCCTTTTCCAAGGTAGATTCTTTCTGTGATGATCATGCAAGGAAGCAGGCGATCTGCTGTGCTCAGCAGTGATGAAAATTGTGTCATTGTTGTCGCCCAGAAGCGCTTGGCAGCACTCTGGGTGAAAAACTTTCCATCTTCATACGTGGCCGTAAAAAATAGTTCTCCTATGCCTTTTGCTGCGAGCGAAGGGAAGTAGGAATTGTAAACGATCCTTTAAAGATGAACGTTGAGCTACTGTTTCTGTGAAGAAGCCTTGTAGCATATCCACGGTTTTCTTCCATCGTCGTTCATCGGTTCAGCAAATGCAATCAGTTACGTGTCCCTAGCCACCGACTGCAGTAAGAGCGTCCACGCTCCGCGCCATCTCGTGGTGCCGGCGAACTCCGCCGGACTAAACAGTAGTATCGAAGAATAGTCTTCATTCAACCAGTCCGGTTGCAAATCTTCAGGTTTTTTCATGACGACAGCTATCTGATTTTCGGCCTTAAGGCAGTCCACTACCTTCTCGAATCCGGCTGGCAGTATGATAAGGTTTTTTCTTGACGTCAAAGTCCTTTCCATGATGAATAGTCCACGGGTGATTCGAAGCGTAACGTCGTGCTGCATCCGCAAGCGACTGCCATATTACAGGAATCCCATCCGCTACGAGGTGGATGTTCAGGGAGCACCCTTCCGGCTTCAACTACAGATACTAGTGTGGAATGAATAGGTAGAACGAGAGTGCCATGCCGAGTCCGCATGGCGTTATAAGATCGTATGACCGAATCCAAGAGTCTGGCAGTCCGCCAGGCTTCCGGAATATGAGCTGGGTCAAAACAGATAACATTCGGGCCAGTTCATAAGGTGACGAAAATTTGAGGGCTCCAAATGGGGCATTGGGAATAATATCGATCAATGTTGCTTCACGGAGCATTCCACTTCAACTCCTTGACACAACAGCTTGCCAGGACATCGCCAGTCCACATGTCGTACATCGCTTGTTGATGAGAACGTCTTCCTGAAATTAGAATAATGAATTCTGATACACGTCTTGGATATTATTTCGTTGACTTTTAATTCCGCTTCCTTGACCATAGACAATTGTACCATTGGCTTTTTCCGTTATACCGTTCTTCCCTGGGGCAGTACCCCTTGGTGAATTTTTGCTTAATTCCCATAACTGAACACAGCGCTTCCATGACAGAATTTTCGAACTCGCTACCGCGATCGGAAAGCAAAGCAGCTGGCCATCTACCACAACCGCAGATCCAGTTACTGAACAGCGCTTCCGCTACAGTCTCAGCCTTTTTGTCAGGTATGGGATATGCTCCAAGATACTTTGTGAAATGGTATACGTGACTGTAACCGGTACTAGTCAGCCCCATTTCAAAAGTCGATTCCGACAATTTCAAATGGTTTTACCGTTACTACCGGCTTAAGGGGCGGTATGTTTTGCCTCTTATTATTGGTCAAAAAGCAAATTTGACATTCTCTGCACCATCTTACCAGATCACGATACATTCCTGGCCAAAATACCGTTTTGCTGAGCTGATCATACATTTTGCGAGCATGGAAATGACCTCCCAGAGCTCCATTATGCGCTTCCTTGAACACTTCATGTCGCCGACTTTGCGGGACAATTGGAAGAAACGAACCTTCTTCGCTTATGAGCATCAACTGGCCATTTTCAATCACGAAATCAAGGGAACTCAACTTCCGTCCGTATTTAGGGAGTCTTACCTCCTCTTCTCTTCTATTCTCTACCGCTTGAATTACCAAGCTGAAATCTGGGTCTTCCTCGCAACTAGCTCAGCCAGCTGTCCTCTTGCACACTCTCTCGTCTGCAATCCGAACGGATGGGTTTTTCCGGACTACTGGACCCCGTGATAGTGCGTCTGCCACGCAATTCGCCGCACCCTTTACATGCTCAATGCTCAAATCATACCGCTGCACTTCCAGCGCCCAGCGCAAAACGCGAGGGGTAACGTGGACTCTTTTGAATAGCGATGTCAGCGCGGCGTGATCCGTGCGCAC